TTTTTTTACTTTTCTCCCAAATTCACTGTGGGCATAGCGAGTAAAATTGCTGTGAACTTTTGGATCATTTCCTCTTTGAACTCATCTATTTTCTTCATCCCTTCTACAAACTTTTTATAGATTTCTGCTGCCTCATATTTGTTTTCTTCTTCCTTTGTGACCCCTTCTCTGCCTTGGGAGAGTTGAAGGGTGGTTCAGAGATCTATTTTGTTGCTTCCTCATTCTCCTATGTGAGTGAGTGTGTGTGTGTGTGTGTGTGTGTGTATTGTAACTTGTATGTAGCCCCCTCTTTTTTCCCCTTCTTGTTTTTGGGGGGAGGGCTACTGCAGGTTAGGGACTAGAGAGTGAGGAGAGTTTGTGACCTATATGAAGAATTTTGATGGGATGTTGCTCCCTGTGAATAATTTTCAGCTTTGTATGTCTGGAGCTAATATCTTTCTGTTATTTATCTTACATGATTTTTTTTTTTTACTATGTCCCTATGTTTTGCCAAAATACTTACTTCGGGTTATAACAGCATCCACAGATTCAACCTTACAACACTTCTATATGATAATCCTTTGTTTATTCTCTATGCACTCTGTAAGAGTTTATTATCTGTGATTGCTCTGAAATGAGGTAGGTGAGGTGGGGCGGGGGAGAAAGGGAGGTAGTTGGACGAGTAATATTAGACACTAAGGAGGAGGTATGAAGGAGGAACAGTGGTAGATCAGAAGAAAAGATTAATGTGGGGTCTGATTTTATTAGAGTATTTACAGTTGAGTTGAAGGGTTTGTATTGAGTTTTCAGAGGGTATTTTATGGGGGCAAGGGTGAGATATAGGAGAAAGGAGGTTCTCTGTGATTGTGGAAAGCTACGTGGTTATGAGAACCTGCTGGTTGGCAGGACAATAGGCTAAGTAAGATATGGAAGAGCCAAAGCCTTAGGATGGGAAGGGTCGAGGAATAATAATACTAAAGAAGATAGGAGCAACTGTGAAGGACTTATGTATGAGTAATTTAAAAACTTGGGAGGGGAGTTCAAATGTTTGGAAAAATAATAAAGAAATAAGTTAATAATATTATCTCAGGGGTTTGAAGTGAATGAACTAGATAGGAATCTAAGACGAGGAAAAGAAACTACACACCTATTAAATCAAAGCCAATGAAAGTAGCAACCTTATAAATGCAGGAAACCACAGAAGAACCTAACATAACCTCACATGACTAAATAAATCAAGAAACATACCAACATTTAAACCTCTAACTTGTCTGATGGGAATGCAGATTAGATATTCCAATGAGACTTTGCACATGTTACCCCAAGTAGCAAAACTGGAGTTAACTCAGACTCAGGACTTCTTTCTGCCACGTTGCAGGCATTCTTGCAGAGTTTGACCCAGTTTGAGTTCTTGGGTTAGCAACCCTTGCTGTCCCTCCCTCTGGGTGTGATGGTGGATTTGGCAGCCAGGTTCACTGGCATCAAATTGTCCATTGAGTCAGGGTTATTTCTATGCAGTCAAATCATCTACAGGAGTAACAGGCTATTCTATTCCAGTGGCATCTATCAGGGTTCGTTGACACAGAACATACCGTGAGACTCTGATTTGGGTTTCCCTTTAGCCAACCGTTGATTGTGGAAGTTCATTCTGGAAGCAGTGTCCCATGTTTTCCTTGCTGGTTCCAAGTGCCAACGATTCTTCCATTTCCAATGCAGTTCTCTGTGAGCAAAAAAGTTGTTAGTTTCATTTTGCCTCCCAGCTGGTGGCTTGCCAGCTATTGTTGGTGGCACTTCATGGTCTCTTCTCCATGGTGTGGAGGTAGAAGGAAGGAGGAGTCAGTAAGAGGAAGTAAAAAGAACTAAGATGTGTTATGCACATGGACTAACTCCCCACAACAACTGTAATCATTATGTATGGCAAACATGTACTAACAAACATAATAATTACAGAAGAACGAGAATTTAAAGCCCCAAAGTAAGACTGCTCTATGCCAGATTTTAAAAAACACATCCTTCTTTGAATCTTACTGTAGTGCTCTGTGGAGCCGGGCTGAGTGACTGCACTCCAAAGCAGTGTCAGAGGGCTCAGCAGGCAGAGCCAGTTCTGCAAGAACAACTGAAAAAGACAGGACTTTAGCCCGAGAAAGCAGGGAATTCCAAAATATCAGAGAAGTAGCCCTCCTAGATTGGAAAGGTTTTGTGCTAGAAAAATTGCTGGCTGGAAGAACAAGAGGTCTCAGCGCCTGGACCAACTTTGATTGGAAGTGACTTCCAAAGCTCCTCAGGAGGAAGAACTTAGGGGCAGAGTCTTATAATCTGTGAGTAAGGTGAGCCTTGGACATGTAAGTGAGGGGGTGCAGAAGCACAGGCTTCTGAGGACAAAGTCCCTGGTAGGGAGTGGTTGTCGCCTTGCATCTGCCGCATGTGGTCATTCTTTTTTCTTACCTAACCTGGGCCAGTTTCACTGAACATCAAGACACACAGCGAGGGCTCCCAGAAGTTAGTAAGACTGCTGTTCTCCTATTGCTTGTCCTTGTCGAAAGACACCATATTTCTCTATAATCACAGCTGAAACACATGCAGTTCAATGTTATGCCCATACTAGTATCCTCTGGTAAATAACTGTTGTTAAACAGTTAAGAAAAAAACAAAACCCAGCTTCCATCCTCCTATTCACTAGTGGTGAGCAACATTATAAATATAATCAATAATTAGAAGTTGATGAATTCTCTCCCAAGTTCTAAGGCAACAACCTGGCACCGCTTTACTATCATATTGGAATGTAAATTTGAATACAGAAAGCCTTATCCCTTTGGAATTTAATTAAAAGTAAATAAATTGTACTGTGAAGATTTTACTAGGAAAGAATGGTAATAGCATCCAGCTTTCCCATCACGCCTTCTGTTTAACTCCTTATCAGTCTATACTGAGAGTAAACTTTTCACTCTAAACCAAATACATTTATCATTCTTTAAGTCTTTCTTGACAAAGTAGTGAATAATTTGTATTTTTTTAACCTTCTCAGTTAATTCTACAATGAAAATGGAAGGCAATTGGCATTACTTGTGCAAATTAAAATGAGAAGCTTCTTTCTAAAATTAAAACTTGTATGAAATAATTATAGATTCACATAGTTCTAAAAAATTGTACAGAGAGATCCCCTATATACTTAGGTCAGTTTCCCCCCCATGGCACCTTTTTGAAAAACATAGTGCAATATCATAACTGGAAATCAGCATTCATACAATCTACTGATCTTGTATAGACTTCCCCAGTTTTACTTGTACTCATTCATGAGTCTCTGTGTCTTTTTATACAGTTTATCACATGTGTAAGAACATACCATTGGTTTAGCATTTCCACTCTTACAAATCTCTCCTACAGAAATGTTTGAATATGTTTACAAAGCCACATGCACAAAAATGTGAACTGTAGTAGTTCATATCAAAAGAAATGATAACATTATGCTTGCATCATTAGGAGAATAAGTAAATATTTTGGGCACAATATGGATTGCAGCAGTGAACGAATAGAGAAGCATAGCCATATAAGCTGAAATGGAAAGATTTTCCATACAAACTAAGTGTAAAAAGGACAGAATAATATAACTATATTTCAATGAAAATAAATAAATATATATATATATGTATATGCATACAGAAATGCATTTTAAAATATGGATACTGCTCAAACTGTTAAGGATTGGTTACCAAAAGTTTTAGCTGAAGATCCATTAATCTAGAAAAGTGATACTACATCTTTGGCAATAAAACAAATCCACAATTATTTCCTCACCAGACAATGCCTGGAAAGTAACTCAGAGTCTTTCCCAGTGAGGATGGAAAATCCTCTTCCATCTTGCAGATAGGAGCAGTGGGAGTCTAAAGGTGACCATCAGCCTGAACCAGCACCCATGGGCGTAGTAGAAATTGAAAAGCCATATTTACAGAAAGTTCAAATATTTCGTATAGGTAAACTGACTGAACTTTAACAAAATAACATTTGTTTATAATTGACAGTTGGAAGATAACAGGTCTCTTTCACACCCCATATCACCTTGAAATCCATTTTTCTAATTGCAACTACTCAGTATTTATTTCGAAGTTAAAGCAAAATATGTAGAGCAAGAGTGAAATGGGACAATTATTAAAATCCTTGCCGCTGAAAGGAAGAAAACAGAAGTTCTTTCCAAATGGTGCATTTTTGTAACATATAGACACATTTTTGCATAAGACATTCCCAGAAAAATTGAAACCACATGTGTAGATGGCCAAGGCTTGCTGTGGATGTAACTGTGTAAGCAATTCAGCAAGGCCGCTGCAAAACCAGCTTCCTAAGCTTTTGGTTGCAGGGGCTAGTTTCAACATCATGGAGCTTCCATGTAGCAAGGAGAGTTCAGCAGGGTGAACAATTTTGCAGCAAACGAGGATTGTTTCCTTCACCCCCACTCTGCTCCCTTGGTCCTCTAAAACTTAAAAACTGAGTTTCCTTCCTGATAAACTCCAAGGCTTCCTCATTGATTGGTCTTAGTTTTATAAAGGATATGACCTCATCACCTTAGCAGACTTGAGGCTGGGGGGCTGTTCTGGGCTTTGGCCAGCCTCCAGCTAGCTGGGTGGTGTGTGTGTGTGTGTGTGTGTGTGTGTGTGTGTGTGTGTGTGTGTCTGACCACAGGTGGTACTCAGATTACCCTGCCTGTACTGTTCTCTGTTGCAGACTGTCTGACCACCACGTGTATAATTCAGCCAGCCACAGAACTGGAATTTCCCAGGGGCGTGAGAAGCACGGAATTTGGACTTTCCTAAGCAACTGAAGTGGGGGGTAGAACTTACTGCCCCAGGAAACACCATGGATAACAGACCAGAAGGCAGTAATACCCGCATGCCCCTGGGGCTAGGAGGCTTTGTTGACAACAGGAGATTTTCGAACTCATTTATGAAGGGTGAGTCCTAGGGGCTTTGAAATCACAGTGATGGGTGGGTGACTAATGTGCTTAGGAGAGAGGAGGGATGAGCAATTTCAGTGGGTCTTTCTGAGGTATGTCCATGCAGCAGTCACTGGAAAGATGTCCACAGCTTGCTGATGTATATTCTTTATACAGATGTTCAAAAATGTGTACATCTCTGCAGAATCCTATAGATGATACAGATTTGTCACAGATAATTATCCAGTAAAAACTTCAGTTCCAGCGAATCATTATTTGTGGGTCAAATGCATCATTATAAATTGGAGGTTTACAAGTTGCTTATAAATAGGAAAAATTTTAATTAGAGGCTCTTACATTAAAAACCCTTAGGTGGGCCGGGGATTTAACTCAGTTGTACTGCCGCTGCCTGCCTTGCAAGCGCAAGGTCTGGAGTTTGATCCCCAGTACCAAAAAAAAAAAAAAAAAAAAAAAAAAAAAAAAATAAAAAAACCCCATTTAAAAACCCTCAAAAATAAAAATAAAAACCCCTTGCAATCTATGTTAGGGCTGAGTTTATAAAGCCTGTTCAAATATTGGGCACTAACTGATTCACTTACAAAGAAGTCAGAGAACTATCTTACTGCCAGGTGATGTCTTTGCTAAAGCATGGAGCTCTCACACGTATGAGCAGTGTTACTCTCTTGCAAAGATTCACCAGGTGCTTGCTGGCTGAAGGATTCTGAAAAATGGGTCGAAGCATTTGAGGAGAGAGTATTACATGACCAGGGGAACAATAAACAGGGATGCCGAAGTCAGCTACTCTACAGGCATCAAAAGGGGAGAACAGAAGAAATTAAACACTTTCCCTGTTTCATTGAGAAGACAACGCTGCTAGTTCATTCACTTATTTATCCAATTTTGCTTATAAAAAGAGCGGAACACCCAATGATGAGTAGGATTTGGATCCACAAAGGCAGAACTGAATTAATAAGTAGGTATATTGAACACAATTCGAGAGTACCAAGAGCGCAGGGTGACACTAAAACCACTTTTTAAAAAGAATTTAGGAGCCAGGGATTTAAGTCAGTGGCGCCACTGCCTGGCTCCCAAGCACAAGGTCCTAAGTTCAATCCCTGGTACCAAAACAAATAAATAAACACACACACACACACACACACACACACACACACACAAAACACACAAAAAAAATTTAGCAAATATATTTTAAACAGTAAACCAAACACCATATGAAAGAATCAATACTTTGTTTGATAGCCACACAATTCTCTGATAGCTAAGCATTATGGTCACTTTCGTTTCCACATGGGAGAGGGGACCCAGCCACTTTTCACAGTTCAGGGTTTCTTAAGGTCTCAATCCAACCCCGGTTGTAACAGGACTGGTGGGCGGACGTGAGCAGGTGTTCTACTCAGAGATATGTTGGTTAGAACATGAACAAGTTAATCACAGGTAGACTGCAGAGCGTCTTGGGGAGTCTTGTGGGACAGGTTTGAGGAGATAGAAACAGATGATGAAACTTTAAAAACTAGGCAGAGGAGTTTAACCTTTATGAGTCGGGGAATTGGCAGCAATTAATGGTTGTGGAGCCGAGACCTGCCTATAATGAAGGGTGTAAGTAAATTGGCCCCTAGTAGCCCCAGTCAGGAAAGATTGTGGTGGCATTATAGGAGATTGCTGCACTAAAACACTGGTTCTCAAATTCTCCTGTGCCTCGATATCACCTGGAGGGCTCGCTAACATGAGAATGATGCAATGTGTGGCGAAGTGGTGAGTCCGGCGTGAGGCCTGGAGTTTCATTCACAGCGAGCTCCCGAGTAATGCTGCTGGTGACAGTCAGGGACCACACTTTGGGAACCATGATACTAGTCAAAGCATGAAGTGTCCATTTGGATCAAACTTAGGAAATGACAGAATGATAATTTGAAAGGAACTAGACATCAGGTGTACTGTTTGATTACATATTAAGGTTAAAAGAGAGATGGTGGCCCAAATGGTAAAGTTTTTAAGCCTAAATTAATGTTGGGTTGGAGAGCTAGAGAAGAAGGATTTGGGAAGGATAGCAACTGGGTAGAGTGAGGAAGGGAGGATGCGGAGTTTTGTTTTGAAATGAAAAATACCAATGACTGTGCCGAGTGCATATCACGATGATTAAGGGACTGAGGTCAGGGTCAAACACAGGTTGGGAGTTGCTGACTTCAGAACACTCTGCAGTGGTTCTATGGTTGAAACTCAGCAAAAGGAGAAATTTTCTGAAGGCCAAAAGCTTCTAGTCAAGGACATAGGATCAGTGAATTGAAGAGAGAAAGGGGAAGAAACTTCAGTACTTGTAATTTCACAGGGATTAGGGAAGGGAAGTTTTCAAAAAATCAGAGGGGTACATTCCTGGATACCTCTGCATTTTTACCTTCGTCTCTTACTCTCATTGACGATCTCCTATTTACCTGCCACACCCAGAGGGGCCACTCCTTCCATCTAGGCTTGTGCCCTGCTTTGCACTAGTCTTGCACCTTGGGTAAAGCCTCAGGTATAGCTGGTTGCACTTGTTTTCTCTTCTGATGTCTTGACCTTGGTGAAATGTAGAATATGGAACACTCAAACTACCATTTCCTAGTGGCTATGATGAGAAACTCAGGTGAAACTTCAGGCGAAACATGTCCCTAGGTACAGGAACAAGTCAGAGAGAAGACAGGGCCTGGATTGGGTTCCTTTGGGGGAATTTGCTACTAGCCCTTCACTTGCAGGCTTTTCTCTGCCTCCTTCTTCAGAAGGAAGGGAGGAAGGAATGAATGGAAGGATATGATCATGACCAGTCAATCCTTCTTAGAGATTTGTTTAGTGTTTGACTCTCCTGTCCCAGGAGCAGGTCAATAATGCATTTTCTTTGTTTTATTAGTGCATATTAGTTATATAGACTAAGGGGTTTCATTTGGCATATTCATACATGCATATAATATACTTTGATGATTTCCACCCCATTCCCTCCTGCCATTTTATCTTTTTATGAGTTGAATTGTGTCCCCCAAAAGATAGGTTGACATCCTAAGCCCCTGTATCTCAGAATGAGACTTATTTGGAAATAATGTCGTGGTGGATGTAATGAGTTAAAATGAGGTCATACTGAAGCGGAATAGACCCTTAATCCCACATGACTGGTATTTTTATAAGAAAAGGAGCTGAGGCATAGATAGAAAACACTGTATAATAAGCAAAGCAGAAGTATCTCTAAGCAGAGGAAGATCAAGTATACTCTGGATTATTGCCAGGAGCTAGAATAGGCGAGGAAGGATTCTTTCCGGGAGAGAACATGGAGAGAGAACCTGGCCTGTTGACACCATGATTCCATACTTCTAACCTCTAGGACTATGAGAAGATCAATTTCTATATCTTAAATCACCTAGTTTGTGGTGCTTTGTTATGATAACCATAGGAAACTAATTCACAGCTACTCATGGAAAATTTGGAAAATACGTTGAAAGACAAACTATCCACTATAATCCCACTGCCCAGGTTACCAAGGTTTCCATTCTTAGTGTCTATCCTTTCAGTTTTTGCCTGCAGGCTGTCCTTTAGAGCTCTTTCCTCTTTGGCGAAATTGAGCCTACCCTGGAGAGAGTTTTCACATTTAAACGTAAGACAGGCAAGAACCTGCACTGAAAGGAAACAATTCTCTATGGCGTAATTTTAGATATTGGAGCATCTTAGTAGAGAAAAGTTTTCTGAGAGTAACCTGCCTGTTTAAACAGAATGGAGGATAATGTGAGGTCCCTATAGAATGGAGAGAGAGAGGGAGAGAAGAAGAGAGG